ATTGTTTATGTTTGTTGAGGAGATAATTGTTTTATCTCATTGGGTTGTGGGAAGAAGTAAAAAAAAAAAAAAAAAGAAACCAGTTTCTTTGTGTCTATGTGTTCTTGAGTACGAAGAAAACAGAAAGTGAAAGGGGAAGAAATAGAATTCATTCTATGATTAATTCCGAGAATTGTTGTTGTTTTAGAGTCTGCATCTCATTATGATTATAAGGTGAGTTTATTTTTTACAACTTTCATCTTATTTGGCAGTAGGGTTCCTTACAAGTTTTTGATGCTATGATTAGCATAATTTTGGTATTTTGATATATTTATATCAAATGATCGGAATAAGAGGGGCATAATACGGAGAGTTGTATTTTGGGATAAAGGTGGCATAATTAGGAGGGGTATATATTGGATAAGGGCGACATATCAAGGAGAGGTATATATCAGGATAAGGGTGTCATAATCAATAGAATGTAAAATATCGGTTTTGATCATGTTGAGTTTTGTTTGCGGCATCCTTATGATGCGATGATTTTGAGTTGTCGCATATGTGTGATGAGATAACTTGGGTTATCGCATCCTATTGATGTGATGAGTGGCTTTTATTGCACCCTTATGATGCAAGAAGTATGCAAGGATGCAACAAGATGACTTCTTGCATCCTATTGATGCGACAAGTTAGGTTTATTGCACCAGTGTGATGCGATGAGACGGGATCCTCGCACCAATGTGTTGCGTGAAAATAGGTTTGTCTCACTCATGTGATGCGAGAAATTTTTGTTTTTTTTTTTACCTATATAATGCAATGAGTTTTATCATAATGTGATAAATGAGTTGTTGGCTATTTTGATGCGATAATTGGATAATGTATCATCATTTTCATACGACAAAAGAAGTTTGTTTTATTAAAATGTTGTTTATTTATTATTTTATACAAATATGAGTTTATAAAAGTGTTTTGGTGATTATTCACCCTATAATAGCAAACAAATTCTTAGCCTAGTGGTAAAGGCTTGGGCATGGCATAGTCATGAACCCGAGTTCGAGCCCTGGGAGGGGAGTGTTGGCGACATTTAAGTGGGGCCATGCTTAGCCTCCAAATTTGCCGGGGATTAGTCGGGCTTTGGCCCGGACACCCTTACAAAAAAAATAGCAAACAAAGGTCTCACTACACCTCAAGATCTAACCCTCATTTTGATGTTTTAAAAATATGCATTACAAATCGGGCACAACCGGATGATAAGGGGAAGAAAAAACTGTGAGGAATTTATAAGTGCTTGTCTGGGATGTTGGGATAATATATTATCTTTTGTATTTGAATACTTGTTATATATACAAATTTTGTACAAATATTATATGAAAAAACTTGATAACTACTTTGTAATGTAGCTTTTGTAGATATTGGGACCAGATGTGTAAATTATATTTTTTGATATATGGAAATATATGTATATATGCAAATATGATCTTGGGGTGTTATAATTATGATCGTTACCGAACAGTTTTTATGTTCAGTTGTCTATTTGTTTCTTGTCACTTTTTAATTTTGAGAAATGACAGAATTTTCAACAAAACCATGTAATCGAATTTATATGTACATTAATTTATATATACAGATAATGTTTATTGTAATTATCTACCTTTCAAATAAGAAACAAAAAGTCCTCAAGTGCAAATAAATAATTCATATGTAAATTATTTGGTAAAAGCAAACCTAGGTTCGTTTATGCATCTTTATATGTGAAAATAAGGTAAACGGATGTGTGTGCACATATTAATTTTTAAATGACGATTTTACCGGTGATTCACTTGTGTATAAGAGTAAATTACACTTTTGGTCCCTGTAGTTGCCATTCGCAATCAACTCGCATCCCTCTTTTAAACTAACTACACTTTTGATCATTGCGGTTGCCATTTTATTTCATTTTTGGTCCCTCAACTAACTTTTGTTAAATTGGTCATTTTCGTCTTCTTAGTTTTTCCGATGACTCATGTTTCCTAACGACTCTTGCTTTCCCTGCAACTCTTGTCTTTCCCTACGATTCCCCCACTGGGCTCCCTCTCCCTAAGAAAGGCTTATTAATCCATTGAAAAAAAACTGGTACAGGTCCCTTGCATCTTGATCTGGTAGATGATTTAGGTTTTGTTTTTGCTTTGGTTTTTTATTTTTGATTTGGGTCTCGTTTTTTGTGGTTATTGATTTGAGTCTACTTACTTGATATGGTCTAACCAAATGATCAGAACAAGTTTGTCCGTTTGGGGTTAGGTCAGAAAATATTAAAAAAATAATATATTCTTTTAAAATAAAAAGATACTAAAAAGACGAAAATACCACTCATGTTAACAGACCTATTTAACAGAAGTTAGTCTGAGATAACAAAAAATGAAACAAAATGGCAACCATGATGATCAAAAGAAATACGAGAGTTACTAATGGGTGACCATCACATAGATCAAAAGCGTACGTAATTCGCTCTATGAATAATTTTCCGTCCGTCTTATTATTTAAACCTTTTTCGTGTTTATATTTATTTAAAAAATTAAATATAATTTATAAAAATACTTTGGAAGTGAACCAAAACCACTTGGTGTAATAAATTTGCTTGCCGAACTCTAACAACTTCAATCATTAGGAAACCCCAACCCACTCTCCACATTTTCAAACAATATTAGTTCAACACTTCAACTACGCTCCTCTATTTAATAATAAATATCCATAAATATAAATAAAACATTTTTAAAATATATTATCATCTTTGCCCTTATAATTTGTAAAAGATTACGATTTTCATCCATATAGTTTTGAAATTTCGATTTTCACTCATATGGTTTTAATTTGTTGTTGTTTTAATCGTCATGGTTTGTAATTTATTGTCGTTTTTATATCTGAACTAAATCTATTAAAAATCCTCCATTTAACTGGGAGTATTTTTTTTCTTTTTGGCTCATTAAATTTTTTTTTGGTATTTTAGTTTTTTTTGATAAAATAATTAATACATAAAAAAATCATATTATTTTGTTGTCGTTTATGATAGAAATATTTAAATATTTTTCATACAATTCGTTGTTCCATATTTTTTTATCATTATAATTTTAGTGTCTAATTAGTTCGATTTATGTCACTAACATCATTCAAATGCAAGGCGTTGAGTACCCCTTATTTTAATTCTTTTTTCTTCATTCGGGACTAAACAATTAAAAAATTTTGTACGACCAAATAATTAACTATATTATGCTATTTTTACGAAATAAATGTATGAGATTTTATTAATAGAACGTATAATTTTATAAACTTATAATAACACATTTATATAAGACATACATTTGTTCGGTATAGTTGAATGACTTATGAGAATAAACAATTGTATGTTCTATTAATAAAATTTCATACATTTGTTTGGTAAGACTAATCTAAAAATAGTTAATTGTTTTGTCCTGTAAAAAATATAATCCTTCCGTCTTTAATGAAGAAAAAAGAATTAAAATACTCTTGTTTGAGGGGTAATCAGGGTTTACACTTAAACGATGTTAATGGCAGAAATCGAACTCATAAACAACTAAAACTATAATGACCAAAATATTATATATAAAAAAATAGTTGTATCAGAAATATTTTAATTATTTTATCAAAAACAATGACAAAATTAAATAAATTTTATCTGTTAACTTGTTTTTATCAAAAAATAAATAGTTGTATAAAATAAAAAAAGATAAAGAAACCAAAAAAAATAAAAAAATCAAAAAGACTATAATGTCCCTAAGTTAATGGAGGAGTTTTAACATATTTAGTCTCTGGGACAAAAAAAGTAATAAATTACAAACCATAGGGACTAAAAAATCACAATTTCAAAACTACAGAGACAAAAATCGCAATCGTTTTCAAACCATAGAAACGATAAGCTTAGTTTACTCTAATTTTTAATCAACGAAATCATCCTTTTACCTTTAATAATATAAAAAGAGAAAATTCATCTTAAATTAAGGTAAGATAGGAAATTGAATAGTAATTTTGGAACATAATAAAATTAAAATATGGACACTTATTTAAAACGAACAAAACAGAATATCAAATACCTGTTTTAATCAATTATGTAACATTTGATAAGGTGAGTGCTAATTTTATCGTCCGTTCAACATAAATCTTTTATAAACCTCTCATACACAAGTATCAACGTCATAAAATATTTACAGTCACTCGATTATCAATTAGAATAGGTACAAATAAGAAATTTAGTATTTTGCATCAAAAAACAGTTATTACATTAAATTAAATAGAAACTAAACAATTTTTGTTATATTTTAATACATTTACCATATAAAATATAGAGTAAATTACGATTTTCATCTCCATGGTTGTTGTTTATAACTACTTTCGCCCCTAGTTTCTAAAAATTGCTTTTTTATTCACTATGACATTCATTTCGGTTAACGTTTCATCTTTGAGACTAACAAAGTAAAAAAAATATGTTAAATGACGGAGTAATATAGGATTTCTAGTTTTTTTTAAATATTTATATTATTCTACAAGTTATTAAAGCTTTAGTAATTTATATCAAAGGAAAAACTAAAATAAAATAGGACTGAACTGGAGGTGGAGTAGATTATATTTTATTTTCATCTTTTTATAAAAGTTTAATAGCTCGTATAATGATATATATATATATATATATATAAATATATATGATAAAAATTATAAAAAAAGTTAAAAAAAATTAATGTACTTTTCTAACTTTGTTAGCTTCATATTGAAACCACAGTGACTAAAAAACAATATTTAAAGATGAGGGGTAATAATTGTTGTAAACAATAAACTATAAGGACAAAAATTGTAGTTTACTGTAAAACATAAACAGTTTTCATAAAAGGGACTTATTGGATTTGGTAGTGATTATTAGGTAACCAGAACCTTCATTATCCTCTGCTTATATTCCCTTTAGACCAACATCTTCAAACCAAATCCATCCCCCCCCCCCCNCTTCTCTCTCTCTAACTAGAGTTAGTTTGAAACAAGCCATGGTTAGTTTAACCCGCCGTCTTCTTTTGACGGATTACCCCCCGAGCGGGGAAAACACCGAGAGTTCTCCCCGCTCAGAGGAAACCGATTTCGATGCTAACATGGTGTTGGTACTGGCGGCCTTATTATGTGCGTTAGTAGTTGCACTGGTATTGAATTCAGTGATACACGTATTTTTACGACGTAGACGTGAGTCCATAGAGGCTTCGACGAACGTAAAATCTCCGGGCCTTGATAAACGGGCCCTAAGGAAGATCCCGATGGCGGTGTTCCGGTTGCGGACGGGTGGTTCTGCCACCGAATGCTCGATCTGTCTTGGAGATTTTATCAATGGAGAGAAGGTGAGAGTGTTGCCGGAATGTAACCATGAGTTTCATGTCAAGTGTGTAGATAAGTGGTTGGCAGAACATACCTCGTGCCCGAATTGTAGGCGGTCTTTGGTGGTGGTCGATGGCGGAGATCGGGCAACAGTTAGGGTGGAGCACGGTGGTGGTGCCGCCGTGGTTTAGCATTATACCAAGTGAAACCAGTTGTAAATATACAAGTTTGCAGAAAAATATGGAGCAAATTTCAAGTTATAGTGATACTTTTAGCCAAGGATTTGATCGCTTCTTTGATGAAAAAAGCTTTTCCAAGATGATTCTAATCGTTTTTTACGATCTAAATTCCATTTTTCTGCTCACGATTCTGCTATTTATCAAAGAAAAAAAAACAAAAAATGACTTTACCAGTTTATCGTTATTGCATATTCTTCATGTTGTTTTCCGCTTAATGCTCCAATCAATGCTTTTCGCCACCTAACTGTTGGATTGGTTGGTTTTCAGTAAGTAATATAGCGGTGAAGTTGTATGTGTGAATTAATATGTCTGTATAGATTATGAAGGTTTTTGTTTTGATGAGTTTTTTCATAAATAGAAAGAACATGGTTTTAATTAGGAGGAACAGGAACAGGTTTAGAAAAAACCTAAGTTTTCTCCCTAATCACCTCATGGAAGTTGCATTGGTTTTAAGCTCAAAAAAAAGTTCTACAATTGTGGATGGTTTTAGGAGCAGTCACATTCTGAAAAATAGCCAAAAACCAAAGATAGATGAGTAGCTCGAAAGCAAGTACAACATTTCAGGTATAAAAGAGTCGTCGACGCCATGTTTTATTCTGTTTGATATCAATTTTCGATTGTACAACATACATATAAAGACACTAGAGATAAAACTCAAAAAACGAAATCACAAAAAAGGTAGTATGTTCCATTCCTACACGATCAGAGTTCTGACCATACCCAGTGGTCTGCATACCAAAAAAAAAAACCAAATGAATCCCGGTATATCCCACCTGGAGGTGGGGTCCAAAAATTATGATGTATACAGACCTGATTTCTATCCCAAATTCTGCTCACCAAATAACCCATTTGAGCCGCGTATATCTCACCAAAAGGTGGGGTCCACGGAGTATGATGTATGCAGACCTGATTTCTACCCCAAAATCAAAGAGAATGTAATTCCATTATGAAAATAAGGTTTACGAACGAGTTTCTTGGATATCATCGGGTTCTTGGAGCTCATCACCGTCACCCAGTCTATCATCTTCTTCTTCATCTCCACCTCCAGTTTCTCCCGTTTCTTGAGGCAATGTTTGTGAACCGGAACTAGCTTGTTGCTCAGAGATTAAGCTCGTAAGACCATTTTGCTTCAGATACGTCTCCAAAGGCAAATTTGCCACTTGGAGAAGACTCATCATGCTTACACGAGTTTCACCATTCGCACGATCACGTTCTTCACGATGAGGATGGATATTTAAGTCCAAGTGTCCTTTGCTGGTACTTTCACTGCCTAATAAACTTGATTCATTATCCAGAAATCCGACTTCCACCTCTTTGTGCCCGAGAGTGTAGCACAGTTGGTTATGAGGTGTTACACTTATAGAAACTTCTACGTCTTCCTTGGGGGGCCCACATGTCAGCTGATTTTTCTCAGCAATTTTGGCTTCGTGCTCCGATTGACGTTTTTTCTTGCGCAGCATTAATGTTTTGAAGCGGCGTTTGACTGTCATGCATACGTTGCAAGTGCAAGTTGGGTTGTGTTTGCCTTTGCCGCTAGGAGGTTGAATGCAGACGATGCAGGAGCACCCAGGGCGGTGCCTTGGGTGCTTGGTGGTGATTGCAGCTGATGGCTCGGCGGTGGAAGGTGTTTGGGCATCTATGCCGCTATATCCCTGATTTTGTTCTGGCTTGTGGCTCACAGAACTTTTCCTCCTATGAAAGTCTAAGCAAAAGAAACGGAAAAAAAATCCTGTTAGCTCAACTGACAGTTGTGAACATAGCTATTGATGTTGAAGTTACTAATTCCTCCGTTCCAAAATAAGTGCCCCATTTTAAATAAAAAGCGCACATTTCAGAAATATGTAACTATTACAACTTTTTAATCCTTGATGATAGAGGCAAACCTTCTCTCTTTCTCTCGATCGCATCAGCTCTAAAATACCCATGCTTCATACATAAGGGCAGAATTGGAAATTTAGTAAATTATAACTATTTATTTTTGAAAGTGGACGCTTATTTTCCAACAAACTTTTCTTAACAGCTTAAAGAGCTTAATGGGACTCGGCTTATTCTGTCAGCTATACATGACTGTTTGGTAGTGGCTTCATGATATAGATCGTCGGTAAGTTTCCAGAGAGGAGCTTTATTTCAGAAAACCAATTTTTTCCAAAACCTTCCTATAATATCCAGGTTTCGTTAACTCGTACAAATTGGGTTAAGTAAATTTTTGGTAGAATTATGCATAATATATTTGTACCATATGCTTAACCAACTTGTATCTCAGACCAGTTTTATGTCAAAAGTGGAGTTTATACCTAATTTGACGTAAAGTTGAGAATATAAACTTGAAGGGTTAAAACCGTCAAACGATTAAACATTATATATATATATATAATTAAAAATAAAAAGAAAAAAAAAAAATATATATATATATATATGTGTGTGTATGGATGAGGCGGTGAACACTGTCTCAGTTTCTGTTTTCTTCTTTCTTTTCTCAATTTCTCTCTCTTTAGATTTTTCATCTTCTCTTCAAATTTTACGTCAAGTTAGTAAGAGGATCGAAGTAACAATTATATATTCGGAATCCACTCTACGAACCTTTCTTAAAGGTATAAGTTTCATTCAGTTTCATTAAGGTGTTTATTTTAGGGTTATTTAGACCAGTTTATAAACTGTGTTTATATCTAAGTTTACGGATTGATTTTGTCAAAATCATGATATATTTGATGTTTAGGATGCTAGTACTGGTTATACTGATGTAGAAATGAAAAGAGTATATTATAGTTTCATTATAGTTAGATTGTGGGTAAATGTTTAACTGTACACCAATTGTTCGGTTAAATGTCAAAAGGAGTAAAAATGCATGATTAAGCTTAGGTTAACGACCATTGGACTTGTTTTACTGTTTAGTTTGTTGAAGTACGTTTATAACATGTAAATATAGCAAATCATGAAAGTTGGATCATAAAAGTTAGTCGGGAATTACGGAATCGAATTTTACCGACAATGTAACTCCCGTACTTTGACAGTATATAACTCACAAACCGTAAGTTGGATTAAACTCGTATTTTGCAGTCAGGAAGATCATACTGCATACTACAACTGGAATTTTACAACTTTCATTAAGGGTCATAATTCCAGTTATGACTCTAAGTGACTCGAAACAGTGTGTTTTTGAGGCTGTTTACACTGTACCCGGGATTAATTTACAGTTTTGTGAAATTCATATAAAATAGATGGATGATCCAAATGAGATGATTTCAAAAGCATTAGACTCGTATGATACCAATCTACAACTTTCATTTAGACAATATAATCTAGATTGGTCTCTAAGTAAGATAAAAATGCTTAGAAATAAGAGGGTCGAAAACGGTTGGATCGAAAGAGAATAAGGTTAACTTTTTACGTTTGAGTTTCATTTCGTATCAAGTACATTAAGACCTAAGTAAATTTATCAGAATAGTTATATTATGGTTTCTATGCTTTATAAATAGTAAGGGGCTGTTTGGCAGTTGCTGAATGGTTTGGTGCAGAATGGTTAAGTGGTCAGAATGGTTAAGAGGGCCAGAATGGTTAAGTACTGAATGAAATAATGTTGTTTGGTAATTGTTATCTGAATGACAGTAAATTACCATTTTAACCCTCATTCACATTTTCTTTGAAGTTGAAGTTGGATAATGTGTTAGGGCCG